CCCCAAAACCCCAAAACCCCAAAACCCCAAAACCCCATACCTTAAGATTTGATCAAAATTCTAAGTAATAAATTTTTTTATTATAATATTTCCACTTAAAAAACAGACTGTGTAATAAATAATGAACATATTCAAACTTTAACTTTCAGTAACCATTATGTTCTTTGAGTTTGAGTGTGCATCTTGAGATTTGCTTTTCAACTGCGTCCAGTTCAAATTCAAGCTCTTCTTTTCTCTTCTTTATCTATAAACTTTTACCATTTATAGTGATTGGTATTTTTGAATATTCACCCTCAAGCTATAGTAATTTATGATCACATAAAATAAAACTTACTCTTTATTTTTCTTTTTTCAACTGTTGAAGTTGACTCTATGGATTAGAGTCCATTGGAGTATTGTTGAATTATTATTATACATTAACTGAATTTCCACCCCAAGCAATTTATGATGGTTATTAGTGCTAATTGTAAGCTGGTTTTTTATCTCCGTATAACTGGTTTAAGGATGGGGAATTAGTATTTTTCTACATCATCTTTTATCTCTAGGCATAAGGAACATTAGGATCTGATTTTTTTAAAGGTGAATAATCTCCAAAAACCCCTTCATTAGGCTACTATGAAGTTTAGTTATTAGATTGACCATGAACCCATGATATGGTATTCGACTAATCAGTGAAGCTATTCTGGCCTTTATGATATGAATTCATATCTGTATTTTTCAAGACTTATCTGTTATTACCGGGGTTATTATTGCTGCTATTTAGCCAACTCACATTACTTCTACTGGAATTGTCATTATCATAATCAGACTTATTACTGCTTGCTCCAAAATATCCCTTTACTTCTTAGGCTGATTAGTTCATTCTTAACTCATTTTATTACGCCATGTTTTTATATGTCTAATTGAAAAAATAAATTATTCATTATTCTTACTTAAACCATTTGACTCATTCTGTTAAGTTCAGCTTACAAATTTTTATTGTCTCTATCCTTTCTTTCCCTATCTGATACTAAGTTGATCCTTTCCTACTCTATTTAAGTAAGACGGTCCCTAAGTTGCTTATTCTCATCTCTCATTTCTTCCATATTTAACTCATTCATTTTACTTTACTCAAGTTTATGATTAGTTTCTCTTTTTACCTTTTCTAGCTCAGCTTAAAGGCTCTTAATTTTCTGTTCTTAGATAGAAGTTCTCTCTCTTAAATCTTCATTTTAGATTTCTAATTCCTATCTCTTACCTCTGCCTTCTAGAATATCTACTTTGTATTACTCTTCCGTTTGAGTAATATTTCTTAGATCACTAAACATATTCTAGTTATCTTATCTGAGTTTGAAAATTTCATCCTCTTTTATTCTTAGTTAAGTTTCTAGATGTCTGACGCGCCCAATTAAGTCATCAATCTTAGCCTTAGCATCTTATTCCTAACGCAGAGCAGCAACACTCTACTGTGAAGCAATTTATAATCTTTGGTCTAAATCGAATGTTTGTTGTCTAGAGAGATCAAGTTCATTTGAGTATAATTAGAGTATTTACTTGTGTTTCTCTAATTCAGTTTCGATTATTTCTCTTTGGCCAATAATCTATTGGAGTTATTCAACACTCTACTGAGAAGCTAGTTTCTCAGCTTATACTTAAGATTGCATTTCAGAAATAATTCCATTTTATTGTTAGACGATCAACTCGCTTTGAAGATTGCTTTGCTCAAGCTCTTGATTTCTAATCAATAACTTTTAAATCTAGTCATTCAATTACTAGAGAATCAAATCATATTGCATAATAAGGAAAGCTTTATCAATGTCTTGCTAGTCTAATGGCTTATTAAGATTTTTAGTATCGATATGAAGTTATTGAGGATTAAATGGTTGATTTTGATGCTCTCTGTAAGTATTTATATTTGAATGAGATCTTTCAATTCTTCTCTCAGTTGAATGAGGTTTTGATTAAGGTTGATTGTACTTATTATTTGAACTTGGCCTGCTTAGTTCAGTATATCTCCCATTAATGTTTCTTTTATTCATATTCTCCAAGTCAGCAATAGCACTTCTGATGTCAGTGCTTTAGGACTTAATTGTTTCCTTAAACTGGCTTTTATCATCTCCATAATCCTCTCCAAAGTTGCTATCGTCATCAATGAATTGATTTTAATTATTAAATTTTTGATTCAAGGGAGTATTATTATTCATTGTCACTAAGTTATTCAATTGGCTGATTGGAGTCTCTGGTGAAAAGTTACATTTTTTCATGATAGCACTTGGTGTAGCACTAAGGGGATCATCTTTATTGTAATATGAAAGATCTATGTCATGATTTTACATACCTTTGATTGGGCTTTCCTTTAGAGACATCTTGTTTAAGTCTAGATTTAAGTTACCTTGCATGGCTCGAGAGTCTGCTTTTGATTGAGGGTGGTCATTATATAAAAGAGCATTTTGATTAATACTGTGATCTGTAGCAAGTACATTTTAATGATTTAGAGAAGAATTTTTAAATCTTTAGAAATCATCGTTCTGCTATTGATCGTCATAATTTTAGTTCATATCATCCTGATTTGCTTGATCCAAGTTGCTACCCTGGTGTTGTAAATTATTTTGATTAAAGACATTATGGAATTGTCTTTGAGGATTCCCCTCCATGTAATTATTAGCTAACTACGAAAACATATTGTTGTTACTATTACTATCACTCACGTTTTAACTGTAATGATCATCATAATCTACAAGAGCTTTTTGGTTCTATTGCTAATTTTGCTGAGAATTTTACTTAACAGGGAGAAAGCTTTGGTAAAAATCTTGCTATTATTATTGCTACTACTACTAAGCTTGAATTTATTGCTAGAGTTGTTGTTATTGTTAAGCAAGGAGATTTATATCAGCCACTTGCTCATCGTTTTAAAAGTATTGGTAATTGCTGGACTGTTTGGATAAAAGGAAATTGGCAAATTAGTCGATGGTGTAGACATTTGAAATCTCTGTTTCCTTTTAAATAGCAGACTCTCTTGTATCAAATCTGCAGTCATGATTAGTTTACCCGTAAGCATTGTAGGCATTATCAAATAATTTGTTTGGTGTCTGTTCTCTTTATTTGACTCTCTCACTTCTCTTCCTACGTCTATTTTGACTATCTCCCATCTATGAGGAGTTTAAGTCGTTATTTAGGCCTATGTTAGAAAATCTAGAATCGTAAGCATCTATGTCCCCATAAATTTGACCTCCTATTATCTGAGGGTTTTAAATAGAGTTCTCAACAGTCAATGGATTGCCTGTTGATTAGGGGAATGCATTAGCTGACTTAAATTACTGCATTTATCAAATAAAATTAATAAGCTTGCTCGAAATGTTTTATCTTTTTAACAATTAAAAATTATCATATGTTTGATGTAACCACCTTTACGGGGTTTTGGGGTTTTGGGGTTTTGGGGGGAAATCCGTTTATTCCTTAT